AATAAAAAACAAACAGGTCCTAAATGAAGACGGAAAGAAAGCTTCTTAAAATACTAATTTATTTAACTTTTTATAAAAGCGAATTAATCAAGAATATCTCCACCCTCCAAGAAATACATTTGGGACTAAAAAAATGCTCGCAAAACCATACTTTACTTGGTACAAAATACTATACAAGAGTAAGGCTAAACGATTTTATCTTAAGACTTTCAAAGATGCTAAATGTATAGGGGAAATTGCCAAAATGTCGTGGTAGATTTTCATTGAACTTTGCACAAAAAATAGATTTAAAATAGTCAATCAAAATTCGTCAATTTCCCAACATTTTCTCCCGTACAAAAAAATTTTATTCTAAAATTTTAACCATTCTTTATTTCTTCAAACCCATTCCTCTCGCCCAACATATAATAGTTCTTCTAAAAAGTTTAGTACAAAATTGCCAAAGAGGAAACTACATAATCCCAGATATTTGAAAATCACAGTGCAAAAATCAGGTGAGAAGTTTTTTTAATCAAAATTCAGGTACCCACACAAGCCCTAATATAATTTCTCTCCCTCCTCTCGACATCTCTCACTTCTCTCTCCTCTCTACTCTCTCTCTCTTCAATGTCGGCGGTCCATACGAACTCTAGCAATCGACGACGAAGGGATGCGCCGACCGACACTGCTGGCATCGGGTGATGCTGAGCTGATTCCACCCTTCGGCGAATGGATCGCTACTGCGAACACGACGAACGACGAGTCTTGGGTTGTGAGTGGTGGCCATTACACACAATAATAGTATCAAAGCCCACACATCCTTGACTCAACCGACAACCATCCACATCATTTCGTTGAACTCGGACGATCGGCGATGCTGCTGCGAACGCCAGCAATCTAGCGCTCAATCCTGTAGGTGACCGCCGTGCTTGGACCACCGTGTTTGGTTTCACCTTCTCCGGCTTCCCACCTGTGAGATCTACAACATTTTGAGGGATTTAAATTTTTCTCGTCTCTCTCTTTTTTCTGATTTTGTGGTGGTTGGAGTTGG